AAAGACCCTCAGGAGCGAGCAATACAAAAAGAGAATTTTAGAGTCTTGTCTGCTCCCTTTCTGCTGAAAGGGTGCAAATCGACCCCATCCACCATTTTTTATGCAGGATAATGCTCCCTGTCACAAATCAAAATTGATGAAGGAATACTTTAATGAGAAGCAGGTGAGTGTTATGACATGGCCGCCCCAATCTCCTGACCTCAACCTTATGGAGCATTATAAAGTACAGGCTCTCAAGAAAGCAATTGAGCAACAAAGAGGATTTGATTGTGAATTTCATATCTGAATGGAATTGAATGCTTGGAGATGAGATTTTCCAGAACCTAATCAAGTCAATGCCAAAATGGGTTGTAAAGGTTATTCAAAATAAAGGAGGACCTATAGATTATTAAGTATTTCGAACTATATTACCTCTTATAAATAAATTATACCTCTATTATTCTTTATTTAATGCTGTTCAGTTATATTTCTATTGATTACTAGTTGCAGGAAATAAGTGAGTCACTTTTTTTTTCCCTAAATGTCATTTATCTCCAAAATTACAATTATCAATAGAATACCTTAGGGTGAGTAAACTTTCTACTAGTTGGTCGGGAAGGGGTCTTTATATTAGTAAGATTAAAAATTAGTTTGACCCCCAAAAACAATAGGCGAAAGAATTTTTAAGTAAAAAAGTCAGGTGAGTCAATTTTATCGAACAGCACTGTATAAAAAAAATTAATGGGCTTTCCTACAGTTAGAAGAAGAAGGAAGAAAAAAAAGGAAAAGTGAGAAAGCAAGACAAAGTGAAAAACGAATAAAAAGTGATAGAAAAAGAGTAAAAAAAAAAAAGAAACAAACCCAAAAAAAAAAAAAAGTTAGTTTGGATATAAAAAAATAACAAAAATAAAAAGTTTATTTTCTTCATCATTAAAGAATAAACTTCGTTTCGCTTCAGTTAACAAGAACCATTACATAACGTCATTGAGCATAGAGAGTTTGGTCCTTACTAGGTGCTCTGCATCTATTACCATGCTTAGATAAACCTTGTAAATATGCATCAAATAATTTGTGAAGCCTGCTTGGTGGATAAAGCAGTCGCACATTTTTTACAGGCACCAGTATTTGGTGTTCAAAATAAGGTAAAAAGAAACACTAGATTTCGATTTTCATAGCTGGAATATTTGATGAATAACCTGTGGCAAAATCCGCCATATCTCACAATGATTTTCCAAGCGTAGCTTAGATGTGGAACAAAGTCGAGAATATGGGGCACCCAGTGAGAATCGAACTCCCTACTCAGTCGCAATTTTTCTAGCGAGACAAGATTGCTCACTATTCCACCGTCTCGAAGTGCCCACCAGACCTTATAATTTTTAGCCGCTTATAGTTAAGTACGGAATAATAGAATATGACGCGGGTGGAATCCACCAAAGTGATACCAACAAGAAATCGGTTACGATAAAAACATACAGAGTCAGCTTCTCCGCATACAGACATCATAATATACGACAATAAACAAGTGAATAAGTTTACAACATTGATAAATACTTGATTTGATTTGGTTTGTTTTGTTTTTGATTTACAATATATCAACCTCAATAGGTTATTTAATGCTGACAAGTAATATTTGCCGACTGGTAATATTTTTCTTCCAAAAATGTATTGCTGCTAATATTTTGTCCTTCAAAAATATATTTCTGGTAATTTTTTTTCTTCAAAAATTCATTACTAGTAATATTTTTTTTACAAAAATGTATTTATGGTATTAATATCTATTTTTACACTTTCATAGTGTTTTGATCCCAGTTTGGGAGTTAACTATTTGCCTATGGATGAGACCCTAACAGGTGCTACCACCCCAGGTCAAGGTGGACCTGGGAACACCAGCAATTAAGAGGTGGTTCCACTCTGCTCAAAAACCCCTGATCAGAGGTCTTGCTGTTTGGCGTATTTTATCGTCTTACCCAGGACGCCTCATTTTTTTCTTACCCCCTCTCCAGAAGTGTATTCTGAAGCCTCAGCCGACAGGGCAGGATAAAGAATTGAGGCATAAGAGCAAGAAGAAAAATTCTGAGATCCCCCATTTTTTAATATATATTTCTAAGAAATTCATATATAAATAATTTTTTCTTAAAATATAATGAGTGCAGAACAAGAGAAAATTAACTGACACATTTTACAGCTTATCTACCCTTTGCAGGTTTTATTTAAAGCCAGAAACTTTTTTTAGATTATAAGCATATTTTTTTAGATACTAACGATTTAGTGACACAAGTTTAACAAATTGACCCATAGCTAAGGGGAGAAGTTGACTCAAACCTTTTCCCAAGGGTATCTAAGCGTAAGTGAATATAACGAATCAAACTGGAATTGGAACTCAGCTCTCCGATTAACAATTCGGAGCCATTATCCATTACACCACCTGCACATCCAAACTTACAAAACCTGGTATTCTCAAGCGGTTACCCATCTAGGTACTGACCAGGATCTACGTTGTTTAACTTCGGTGATTGCATGGGGATCTGTAGTTTTAACATGACATGATCATAATCCTAAGTATGGTCTGGAGCCCCTTCTGTTTGCCTAGGGGTTCTTGATATGCTCCAGAGGCGTATATGCAATATAATTGGCCCTGCTCTGGCATCTCGGCTACAGTCACTTTCTCACAGACGCGCCGTCGCCTCTCTCTGTCTGTTTTACAAATACTTTCATGGCAATTGTTCCGAGGAGCTGCATCTGCTGGTTGACAGACTTCATGAGTTCAAACGCCCTACGAGACTGACATCCCGCTCTCACCCTTTCACTATCGAAGCCCCTAAATGTAGCTGTTTCTTCTACTCCAATAGCTTCATGTCTCGCACCTCTCGCCTGTGGAACTCCCTTCCCTATTCCAGTTTCCCTGAGAGCTATAATATCCAGCTATTCAAATGTAATGTCAATCGACATCTCCAGTTGCCTTGATCTATCCACTGCCCTTCTCCTCATCCTTTCTTCTATCACTCCTATCTGATCTTGCTCCAAATCTTCTGTAACCCCTTGTGTCCTAGTGGCTTCTCGCCTTGCTTGGGGTGAAACGCTTATAAGAAAAAAGAAAAAAAGAAAAGTGGTTAAGTTTAAGCAGTACTTTTCAAATGTTTTCAAGGTATCCCTGTAAAGGAGTCAAATGAAAGGAAAAAGAAAGATTTATCATGTGGTCAGTACGGTGGTGTGGAGGTGAATGATAATAATCTGTGAGCAATGACATGAAAAGAAAATACGTCAGTCTCTTTGTTTGAAATTTCCTAGGATACGGTCTAAATTAGAGGACTGGTCATGACGTGACAAGTGCCAAAAATATCTCTATGTTGCGGAAATGTCAACATCTCCGGATTATCCAAATTTACCTTTTGAACAATGTTCAGAAGTTAAGACGACTGTCAACAGTAAATGAAAGAAGACGAAGGAATTTTACGACATGAACGAAAGAATATCGGCATAAGGAAAAATGAGGTCGCTATTTATTTATTTAGTTCCTATCTCTCGATTTCAAATGTTTACCTTGCTTCGTGCCTCTATAGCAATCATGGGCAAACTGAGGCCCTTCACTCTTTCGGAACGGCACGTTTAATTTCATAAGAAAAATAACGTTTCTTAGAGTTTTATTTTGTTTCATTCACTCTTGTTCACTCACACACTCTCTCATACATAACCTCATGCATAAACACTAAGTACAATGTTTCTTGAATTTAGTAAAATTTTGAGGCCAATAACGTTTCGGAATTTTAAACCATTGGCGATTTTCACTAAGGAAGATCATACGTGTAATCATCTTTTGAAGCAGAAAACGTCCCTAATTTTTCTTTAAAGAATAAATAATTTCATTTTCAAATGAGTAAATTAGAAATAAATCCCACGCAGCGACATATGTTAATCACGCTCTCATCAGTAACAATATAAAATAATAATTATAATTATAAAAAATAATTTCTAAAAAATTAAAGCTTTCCTACCATTTCTTATGTAAATGCTTTACGTGTATAGTCTTCTATGGTGATAATATCTGAGGTCCCTACTCCAAAAAATTACCTTGAATGTTTTTAATAGTGTGACCAGCCTCATGATGAACCATCTCTCATGCAGCCCACTGCTCGAGAAAGGTTGCCCATGTATGTTCTATAGAGATGGGATTTTTTCATTCTTCCCACGTCGCTACCGAATGTGATACAAGGTTGAGGCTTAAAGTGGGTTTAATGGCGATACTTTGGAAAAAATTGATGAAGCACTTCCCCTTTTGGGGACGCCTCATGTAATGATCTCAGCTCTGTTCTGAAGAAGAGGTTTTGCCTGGGTGATGGCCTCCCGTGGAGCCTGAGTTTAATCCTCTATAGAAATGATCTAGCTTCGTAGTTCAAACAATCCTTTCCAGTGGCTGTGGGATGGTCGGACGACGCTACATCTGATTTATGATTGGATATAATAAACCAATGATTGGGCAAGAAGCTTCAGTCTCGTTGTTCCGAAGCTATGAGAGCCAAAAATGAAATATCTATCTGTTATGGGGTCCTCCCCTTTTTCATATAAGTGGACTCTACCAGTGTTACTTGGACTGCTGCTGTTAAATACCCAGAGACAGACTGTGAGAATTTCTTCTCACACAGTTTAACCCTTGGCAGAGACAAGAAAAGACATACAATTAACAAAACCTACCTTAAAATTCAATACAAATTTTATTGCGTCTTTGCAAAAAAAGATTATGCCCTTTTTTGCCCCTGCGAATAGGGTGGGGTAGTTACTTCAAAGAAGTGGTAGTCATTTTTCTTCTCTGTAGGACTCAACTGGTCTCTATGCAGATTCGAAGAAGCAAGAACTTGACGGTCGTCGCAGGAGCATTACCAATTAGGTTGCTGAAATAACAACTCGGCTATTTGTCGAGAGCATGCAGAAGAGTTCTTCATGTAAAAACTACATATTAGAAGACAGTCAATAAACCGACTGAATTATTCAGCCTTGAAAAGTCTCTAGAATGTGAGACAAGAAGAATGATTGCCTCGTCATTTAGGCTTAATTTGGGCGCTAAAGGCCCTGCAAAGTGATTGAAATATGAGTCCTGTCATTTTGAAGATTTTGCAGCAACTGAAAAAAAGGCACGGGCCGTTGAAAATGCCGGCGAAAAGCAAAGTCAAATTCAATCAATGAGATTGGTCAGTACAAAATACGGTGTGGCATAAATTAGCCAATAGGAGCTTAATTGCAGAATTTCTCACAAGACAGTCAGAGAGTAAGTAGAGATAGTAAGAAAACTGAGATTGTGATTGTGATTGTGATTGAGTTGGAGGTAGAGTAATAGTGTGAGGTAACCGCTTGTAGAAGTCAGTTACAAGCACGTAGACTCTAAGGAAGTCCTACTTCGAGACTGTATATATCTACAGTGTAACCCGGATATAAGAGAGTTGTCGTGACCAGAGAAGAAGTCTCTTATATCCAGGTTTCTCTTATATCCGGGTTTCTCTTATATCCGGGTTTGGTCTATTTTATATACATTAACACAGGCTCTAATTTGGAACCAGAGGAAATCTCTCTTACATCCGGGTTACACTGTATTATTTTTCTCTACTTTTAGAAAGGATGGTTTATGAGTGCTACAAAGCTATGCGCGATACGTTTTAGACCTTTTGGCAGAGTGGTAGCGGGTAAGTTTCTTGGTTAAGACAAAGTTTTCTAGACCTTGTCGGAGTTACCTCCTTAATTTTTTAATTGTCACTAGAGGTCTCTCTCCCTACACTATAAATACTGGGCGAATTATCGCCTCGTTCTCTTTTTTTCTACTTTGCATTTCAGTGGACACCTTTAAAAATCTCATCTCTCGTAGAGATTCGCGTTTTTGTCCACTTATGGGAAAACGCCATGAAACACACATACACGTACGTACGAACATTCACCAAAATACAAACTTTTTACGTTCACACACAAACACAAATATTGATATTGTAAAATTGTTTAATACATATATTTGTTGACATATCGCTCAGAACTATTGTGACTGAGTAGCGAGTTCTATCCTCACTGGGTACTCCATACTTTCGGTCTTGTGCCACATCTGAGCTACGCTTGGAAAATCACTATATTTGTTGACATATATATATATCGCTCTTGTTTGTTTTCTTTACATTTCTTTATGGTGGATTCAAATGTCTAAATCCGGCATGTTCTGTTAGTAGACCTTCTAGCAGGAATAAACAGCACGTGTTTCGAATTCAACAACACGTTAATCCACACAGGTCCGCTACAAACTCATTAGTTAAGAGGTTACGAATTACAAAGGTGTGTAAAATGTCAATGTTTCAGAGAAGATCAAAGCCGGGATTTCGATTAAAGTTTTTTTTTTGTTTTGTTTTTTTTTTTTAATCAGGAAAACTCCTAAATTTAAAAGAAAAAATAAATCAAGAACAACAACAGCAACAAACAAACCACCTAACAAAGAAAAAAAGTTGTTGCTTGGACTTTGGTAAAAAAAAAACCCAAAAAAACAAAAAACAGGAATTGTGAGACTATATGATTGGCGTATCACAATAAGCCTCAGATCTATTGGCTTCGTACCAGAATAAGATTAGAAAAAAATTAAGTTGATAAGTCAATGAAAAGTAGTTTTTGCTGACATGATTAATCATAATACAGTCTAACCCGGATATAAGAGAAACACAGATATAAGAGAGATTTTCTCTGGTCCCAAATTAGAGCCTGTGTTAATGTATATAAAATAGACCAAACCCGGATATAAGAGAAACCCGGATATAAGAGACTTCTTCTCCGGTCCCGACAACTCTCTTATATCCGGGTTACACTGAATATCAATTTTTGAAACAACGTCACACAGATAAAGCACCTATTCAGGATTTGAAACACAACACACTAGTAAATATCAACCAAGAATTTATATTTTACTAAAAAATATAGTTCAATAAAAATGGCTAAAATATAAAATGCCAACTTATATACATATTCTGTCAAAATATTTTCTTAAAGTTCAATCAGTCCACTTATCCATGGCCAATATCGTGGACCAGTACACGTTCCGGTGGTTAGCAATAATAACTTTTAAATTTCATTCTTACAATAAAATATCAGTGAATCTTGGAAACATTGATAAGCTGTTCATATGGTGGGTGACACACACATACACACACACACACGTGCGCGCGCACACACAGACAGACAGACACACGTGCACACACGCACAAACATGCACATACAGAATACATATAATTCAAATGTATTTAATTTCAAAAGAAAAAGGGGCCACAATGCACATTTTACTTGCTGAGTGTAGTGTGCGTATGTGTGTTTGTAATTGCCTTTTTTTTTCTTTTATTTCCTCTTGGAAAAACAAAGGTTGATTTAGTTAATCAGATTCATAAAACATTCTTTGCAAATGGGCTACTGGCGCTGAATAGATATAACATTTACATACTTGTAAAAGCCGGAATATATACATTGCATATCTATCTATCTATCTATCTATCTATCTATCTATCTATCTATCGCAGACTGTTTCTTTCTATCTATCTATCTATCTATCTATCTATCTATCACAGACTGTTTCTATCTATCTATCTATCTATCTATCTATCTCAAAATGTTTCTTTGTATCGCGAATTCTTTCTTTCTTATACGTTTTCTTTCTTTCTTTGACAGACTGTATCTATCTATCTATCTATCTATCTATCTATCTATTTATCTATCGCAGACTGTTTCTTTCTATCTATCTATCTGAAAATGTTTCTTTCTGTCTATCGCAGACTCTTTCTTTCTTATACGTTTTCTTTCTTTCTTTGGCAGACTGTTTCTATCTATCTATCTATCTATCTATCTATCTATCTATCTATCTATCTCAGAATGTTTCTTCCTTTCTATCTTGGACTCTTTCTTTCTTTCTTTCTTTCTTTCTTTCTTTCTTTCTATGATTCATCCTATTCTTTCTGATACATTAATTATCTTCTCATATGTGTGTGATATATCTATTACCGTTGGCTCATAACAGTCACACTAAGAATGCATAACGAAGAAGTTTCGAGGTAAATCAGAAACACATAATAACTTCAACTAACTCGGCGTATACTCAGTTATAAAAAAATTATTATAGAATAAAAGGAAATTGAATAGGTCGCGCCGCCACAGATAGTTTCCACCAACACCGCAAATTGTTGCAAAACCAAAATAATATCCTGAAAACTCGAATCGTGTTCTTAAATAGTCTCGCCAGATCGAGACATTCATATGGATGTCATACATAGCACCAATCCCGTTTAGAAATATCTAAACTATCAGTTGTATAGACTCGCTTTCTAAAATGAATGGTTAAAATGGCTTTGCGCGAATGAAGCAAAAGCGATCATTCTTTGAACATTGTGGAGTGGCGTTATAAAAACACAGAACTATACAAAAAAACAGAAACCACATCACTTGAGGACTACCAACAGCAGCAACAATTAAAATGGATAGCACATGTAACTAAAAGAGAAAATAATGACATAATCAAGATATTAATGTTCTGCACTATTTCAAATAAAGAACTGTACCAAATAAGAGAAACCACATCACTTGAGGACTACCAACAGCAGCAACAATTAAAATGGATAGCACATGTAACTGAAAGAGAAAATAATGACATAATCAAGATATTAATGTTCTGCACTAAAATAAAGAACTGTACCAAATAACAGAAACCACATCAATTGAGGACTACCAACAGCAGCAACAATTAAAAAATGGATAGCACATGTAACTGAAAGAGAAAATAATGACATAATCAAGATATTAATGTTCTGCAATACTTCAAATAAAGAACTGTACCAAATAAGAGAAACCACATCACTTGAGGACTACCAACAGCAGCAACAATTAAAATGGATAGCACATGTAACTGAAAGAGAAAATAATGACATAATCAAGATATTAATGTTCTGCACTACTTCAAATAAAGAACTGTACCAAATAAGAGAAACCACATCACTTGAGGACTACCAACAGCAGCAACAATTAAAATGGATAGCACATGTAACTGAAAGAGAAAATAATGACATAATCAAGATATTAATGTTCTGCAATACTTCAAATAAAGAACTGTACCAAATAAGAGAAACCACATCACTTGAGGACTACCAACAGCAGCAACAATTAAAATGGATAGCACTTGTAACTGAAAGAGAAAATAATGACATAATCAAGATATTAATGTTCTGCACTACTTCAAATAAAGAACTGTACCAAATAAGAGAAACCACATCACTTGAGGACTACCAACAGCAGCAACAATTAAAAATGGATAGCAAATGTAACTGAAAGAGAAAATAATGACATAATCAAGATATTAATGTTCTGCACTACTAAATAAAGAACTGTACCAATTAACAGAAACCACATCACTTGAGGACTACCAACAGCAGCAACAATTAAAAATGGATAGCACATGTAAGGAAAGAGAAAATAATGACATAATCAAGATATTAATGTTCTGCACTACTTCAAATAAAGAACTGTACCAAATAACAGAAACCACATCACTTGAGGACTACCAACAGCAGCAACAATTAAAATGGATAGCACATGTAACTGAAATAAAAATAATGACATAATCAAGATATTAATGTTCTGCACTACTTCAAATAAAGAACTGTACCAAATAACAGAAACCACATCACTTGAGGACTACCAACAGCAGCAACAATTAAAATGGATAGCACATGTAACTGAAAGAGAAAATAATGACATAATCAAGATATTAATGTTCTGCACTACTTCAAATAAAGAACTGTACCAAATAAGAGAAACCACATCACTTGAGGACTACCAACAGCAGCAACAATTAAAATGGATAGCAAATGTAACTGAAAGAGAAAATAATGACATAATCAAGATATTAATGTTCTGCACTACTCAAATAAAGAACTGTACCAAATAAGAGAAACCACATCACTTGAGGACTACCAACAGCAGCAACAATTAAAATGGATAGCAAATGTAACTGAAAGAGAAAATAATGACATAATCAAGATATTAATGTTCTGCACTACTTCAAATAAAGAACTGTACCAAATAAGAGAAACCACATCACTTGAGGACTACCAACAGCAGCAACAATTAAAAATGGATAGCAAATGTAACTGAAAGAGAAAATAATGACATAATCAAGATATTAATGTTCTGCACTAATTCAAATAAAGAACTGTACCAAATAACAAAAACCACATCACTTGAGGACTACCAACAGCAGCAACAATTAAAATGGATAGCAAATGTAACTGAAAGAGAAAATAATGACATAATCAAGATATTAATGTTCTGCACTAATTCAAATAAAGAACTGTACCAAATAAGAGAAACCACATCACTTGAGGACTACCAACAGCAGCAAATAATTAAAATGGATAGCAAATGTAACTGAAAGAGAAAAAATAATGACATAATCAAGATATTAATGTTCTGCACTACTTCAAATAAAGAACTGTACCAAATAAGAGAAACCACATCACTTGAGGACTACCAACAGCAGCAACAATTAAAATGGATAGCAAATGTAACTGAAAGAGAAAATAATGACATAATCAAGATATTAATGTTCTGCACTACTTCAAATAAAGAACTGTACCAAATAACAAAAACCACATCACTTGAGGACTACCAACAGCAGCAACAATTAAAATGGATAGCAAATGTAACTGAAAGAGAAAATAATGACATAATCAAGATATTAATGTTCTGCACTACTTCAAATAAAGAACTGTACCAAATAAGAGAAACCACATCACTTGAGGACTACCAACAGCAGCAAATAATTAAAATGGATAGCAAATGTAACTGAAAGAGAAAAATAATGACATAATCAAGATATTAATGTTCTGCACTACTTCAAATAAAGAACTGTACCAAATAACAAAAACCACATCACTTGAGGACTACCAACAGCAGCAACAATTAAAATGGATAGCAAATGTAACTGAAAGAGAAAAAATAATGACATAATCAAGATATTAATGTTCTGCACTACTTCAAATAAAGAACTGTACCAAATAAGAGAAACCACATCACTTGAGGACTACCAACAGCAGCAACAATTAAAATGGATAGCAAATGTAACTGAAAGAGAAAATAATGACATAATCAAGATATTAATGTTCTGCACTACTTCAAATAAAGAACTGTACCAAATAAGAGAAACCACATCACTTGAGGACTACCAACAGCAGCAACAATTAAAATGGATAGCAAATGTAACTGAAAGAGAAAATAATGACATAATCAAGATATTAATGTTCTGCACTACTTCAAATAAAGAACTGTACCAAATAACAGAAACCACATCACTTGAGGACTACCAACAGCAGCAACAATTAAAATGGATAGCAAATGTAACTGAAAGAGAAAATAATGACATAATCAAGATATTAATGTTCTGCACTATTTCAAATAAAGAACTGTACCAAATAAGAGAAACCACATCACTTGAGGACTACCAACAGCAGCAACAATTAAAATGGATAGCAAATGTAACTGAAAGAGAAAATAATGACATAATCAAGATATTAATGTTCTGCACTACTTCAAATAAAGAACTGTACCAAATAAGAGAAAACCACATCACTTGAGGACTACCAACAGCAGCAACAATTAAAATGGATAGCAAATGTAACTGAAAAGAGAAAATAATGACATAATCAAGATATTAATGTTCTGCACTAATTCAAATAAAGAACTGTACCAAATAACAGAAACCACATCACTTGAGGACTACCAACAGCAGCAACAATTAAAATGGATAGCAAATGTAACTTAAAGAGAAAATAATGACGTAATCAAGATATTAATGTTCTGCACTAATTCAAATAAAGAACTGTACCAAATAAGAGAAACCACATCACTTGAGGACTACCAACAGCAGCAACAATTAAAATGGATAGCAAATGTAACTGAAAGAGAAAATAATGACATAATCAAGATATTAATGTTCTACACTACTTCAAATAAAGAACTGTACCAAATAACAGAAACCACATCACTTGAGGACTACCAACAGCAGCAACAATTAAAATGGATAGCAAATGTAACTGAAAGAGAAAATAATGACATAATCAAGATATTAATGTTCTGCACTTTCAAATAAAGAACTGTACCAAATAACAGAAACCACATCACTTGAGGACCATCAACAGCAGCAACAATTAAAATGGATAGCACATGTAACTGAAAGAGAAAATAATGACATAATCAAGATATCAATGTTCTGCACCACTTCAAATAAAGAACTGTACCAAATAACAGAAACCACATCACTTGAGGACTACCAACAGCAGCAACAATTAAAATGGATAGCAAATGTAACTGAAAGAGAAAAAATAATGACATAATCAAGATATTAATGTTCTGCACTAATTCAAATAAAGAACTGTACCAAATAACAGAAACCACATCACTTGAGGACTACCAACAGCAGCAACAATTAAAATGGATAGCACATGTAACTGAAAGAGAAAAATAATGACATAATCAAGATATTAATGTTCTGCACTACTTCAAATAAAGAACTGTACCAAATAACAGAAACCACATCACTTGAGGACTACCAACAGCAGCAACAATTAAAATGGATAGCAAATGTAACTGAAAGAGAAAATAATGACATAATCAAGATATTAATGTTCTGCAATATTTCAAATAAAGAACTGTACCAAATAACAGAAACCACATCACTTGAGGACTACCAACAGCAGCAACAATTAAAATGGATAGCAAATGTAACTGAAAGAGAAAAATAATGACATAATCAAGATATCAATGTTCTGCACTAATTCAAATAAAGAACTGTACCAAATAAGAGAAACCACATCACTTGAGGACTACCAACAGCAGCAACAATTAAAATGGATAGCACATGTAACTGAAAGAGAAAATAATGACATAATCAAGA